TAAATTATATGGTGTGTTAAATCACATTTTTCGGGGTTTGATCTGTAAAATTAATTTCGGAAAACTCACAATTCCCTGTTTTCGCTTGTCGGCACTCATTTAACAAAATTGTGTGAAATCACATTGCAAATAAGGTAGAATTGTTATATTATACAAGGTATGTATATATAGTATATATACAGTAGAATAATATTTGAGATTTGAGATTTAGAACATCTGAAATTTGGGATAGAGTTTGGAATTTGGGACTAGGATTTATCTAGTTTTACTACATAGAATTTTAGACTTGACTAGATAATAAACAAATTTTAAATCTCAAAAGTTTGTCTATTAAGAATAATTATAAAGTAAACCAAAAAACTTTAAAGTTGTAAAGCCTATTTTAATTAATTTTAATTTATATTTTGGGAATTTGGGATTTGGAATTTAGGATTGGGATTTGTTTAGTTTGGCCTTATAGGATTTTAAGTATAATTGAAAAATCTTATTTGTTTAGGTTTGTTTATAAAAAAATTTAAAATCTTAAATGTTTGTATAGTATAGTAAAATCTCTCTAAGTATACACTCTTGAGACTGGGCTATAGTATACACTTAAGGAGAGTGTGTATTTATAAAATTAGTATTTTTACCTACTCTACTACAACAATTAATAGTATTTTGAGTCTTTTTAATAATCATGCTCATTTTTTATGTTTATTTATTATCTATCTTTCTGAGAATATCTGACAAAATTATTTTTTCATTTGGTAAAATATTTATATTAATCATATATATGCATTTATAGAGAATACACATATAAGTCTGGGCTATAAAAACCTATGCATGTGCAAAGATTGGAGGGTGCACTTAACATTAAGTTCCAAGCTTGAAACCAGGCTATAATGTGTACTTAAAAGAGTATACATTTAAAAAGAGTATACTTAGAAAAGTTTTACTATGTATATAGTTATATATTTTTTTTTGATCAATTCAGCAGTCTTGCTTTTATTTTATTAGACTATATAATATTATATTAAGAAATATTATATTTTATGAGAAGGATAAATCTTTATATTATTTAAGTTACAAATAAAAGCTCACCTGACTTTTTGTAACCAAAGTCCAAATTACTCATACATGACTTGCTATAAGCAGAGTTTTTCTCTATAATATTCTCTTTTGCAATTAAAGTGAAATAAAATATCAACAGAAGGCCCACTAGCCCATCAAGACTACTATTCTTTCTTTAAAACTTTTTTCACCTAGATCTGAGCAGAATAGTTTATCTTTTACTTTTCTATAAAGGAAAAAAAAATATACTATATCTATGAAAAAAAACCAAAATCTAGAAAAAGAAAGAAAAAAACAAAATGAAAAAAAACATATATGAAAAAAGTATATCCTAAATATAGTTCCATTATAAATAGATAAAGATAAAAAAAGTAAAAAAAAGAACTATGTAGTTCTAACATATGAATAAAAGAATAGAAAACCAGAAAATGCACTATTAAAGTCTGTGCTAGGTATTAAAAAATTATATACTAATTGCAATTAATTTATATATCTCAATTGTAAAGTTTGCTTTATCATTAAGGACTCGTTCTGGATATATAACTAAAATTAAATATTTTCTAAACAAGGCATTGGTTTCTTTCCCATATTGTAATACTGTATTGATAAACAAAACAAATACATAATTGCATTCTACTGAGTTTGTCCAAATTAAATAGGTGTAAACAATATTGATCTTTTGGAGAGAATAAGCTGGAATGTCTACATTTTTTAAAAATTTTGGTGAGATCGACAGACAGCAAGAAGAAGAGGAAAAACTTGAGACTATTTAAAAGAGTATGAATTTTTTTTACTAAGATCAACTTTTCACCAGAGCTTACACAGTATTAAGTCTTTTTGGTAAGTGATAAACTCTAGGCTTGTTGGCAAGTAGTGTATAAAAACTACTTATAAATATCAAGTGCCATGCTAGCAGTAAGTGATAAACTCTAAAACTATTAGCAGATAGCATATAAGAACTATTTCTAAATAATAGCTACTATCTTATAGCCCTTTTCTTATAACTTATATTAAAACCTTTTGGGTTATATACTAGTATACAGCATTTTTTTTTAGTAAACAGTTTTTTGAAAAATATAATTCAAGTAATCATTAAAAAGAGTTGTGGTTATTAATGATATATATAGTTATATTTACAATTTAAATTACTATTTCTAATATATAAAAATAAAAATTATTAAAAACTCTTTCTAATGATTACTTGGACCAAATTTTGCTATAAATAAAAACAAAAATGTTTTGTTAAAAATATTAGTAGGCTCTAAAGTAGTAGTTTTTATAAAAATTAATCTTGTTTAGAAAACAGCTTTATATATTTAATATGCAAGTTAAAAATATTATTATACAAGATAACTAGCAGAAAGTAATACTTTTGTATAAAAAATTTTAGTAAAAATATATACTATAAATTGCCAGATACAAGACCCAGATCTTTTATATTCTACTAATTTTAAATCCTATAATAGACCCTGGGTCTAGTATGCTGCTGAGAGTTCATGTCACTAAGAGGAAAACTTTGAAGAGTATGCATATTTCACATTTATAATAAACAATCCAAATATTTGAAAAAACCCATATTTGATTAATATAGATCTCATAATATGTATTTAGGTATACTACATGGTAGATTTACTATCATAGGGAATCTTGTATTCAGTGATTTATAGTAGTTTTTCTGTTGATAAAACTCTTTAGGCAGTTTTTAAAAAAAATACAAAAGACTAATAGTTAGGCTTCTGCAAAGGCTTGGACTACTTGTGGGTACTCTGAAAGTAGTATCACACAGACCAGATTAGGATAATAATTTTTGAACCCTAGGGTAAAGATAAGAGCTTAAAGTCACTAAGTTCTTATATAAACAGGTAGGGCTATATGTAATAGTACCCTACTCTTGTATTCGTGAATACCCTACTAAACAACCCACCAATTATAATCCAACTTTCTATCACTATAAATAAATCTAGAATAAACTACAGTGTGTTACACATAAGATTATCTTTGCTTATATCTATATAAAAAAATCACTATTTTTTTTTTTCTCTTTGGTTTAACCCCACATTAATAATACTAATTACCAACACATAATTACTAATATACTAATTACTAATACATACACTAATTACTAGTGTTCTAATCTACCAACACATATATTAATTTACTAGCATTCTGATCTACCAACACACACTCTAATTACTAGTGTTCTAATATATACTCTAATTACTAGCATTCTAAAATGGCCTAAATTACCAACCAAAAAAGTGAAAAGCTATTAAAAGCCATAGGCAAGATATTAGCATTGTTGACTTTTTACTTTCATTATACTAAAATATTAAAAGCTAACAATACATCTACTACTAATATAAAATTACAAAGTCATGAAAGATTTTATAGACAATAATGCCTATAATTATGATACTGATGATATAGTAATGGATATCAATTTGGTTAATAGTTTAACTACTTACTCTAAAAGTATTAATAACACAATTAGTGAAGCTGTTAATAAAGTTATTAGCAAAATCACTAACAAAAACACTAGTGAAATTATTAGTGAAACCATTAGCGACACCACTAGAGAAATCGCCAGCAAAGCCACTAGCAAAATCACTAGTGAAGCTACTAATAAAACAACTAGTGAAGCTACACCAAAGTTTAAATTATCTGTTTGGAAAAATTTTACTCTATTAGAAAAAGAACAAAAAGCTAAATGTAAATATTGTAAAAGTTTATTTAGTCATAAAAAAGGAACCAGAACCTCTCACCTTTAGCAGCATTTTAATTTATGCCAAAAATATAAAAAACTTTTAGCTAATGAATTTATCCAAATGGCTTTAATTTAGAATCTAACAGACAAACAAAATTGAGGTTTAATACAAACCAAATATCTTCAAAAAAATTAGTTAGAAAAGATGTATCTGATATGATAGTTCTGGATGAACTAAGTTTTCAATTTGTGAAAGAGTGGGGCTTCTAGAGGACTATTATCTAATTTTATTGTTAGTACTGACTTGATAAAATGAGACATTATAGACACTTATAATATAAGAAAGCACTAATTAAAAACATACTTCAAAATGCCAAAGGCAAAATCTTTTTTACCTGCGATTGTTGAACATCTCTTTAACAGCTTGTATACTTGGCAATTACTGCTATTTTTTTAATAAAGAATGAATTTTATTTCTATTATACTATCATTTATATTAATTCCTTATCTTTATATTGGTATTAATATTGCCAATTGTATAAAAACTAAGTTAGATAGATGGACTATTACTACTAAGATAATTAGATAAATTATTAATTTTATTGTATTAAAGTTAAAGTTTGGCAAATTAATGTGATATAACTTTATATAATTTATTATAGTTGCAAACTATTACTCTTGACAATGTAGCTTCAAATAATATTGCAATTCATGAACTTGCTAACAATATTTCTTAAAACTCATTTATAAAAATTAATAAAGATATTTTTCATAATTACTGTTTTGCTTATATTTTAAATATTATTGTAAAAAATAAGTTAAAAGAAATTTAGATATTATTAAAAAAGTAATTACATGTTTATTTAGGAGATACTTTGGGTTATCAAACGATTTACTTATGTGTAAATCATTTGGTAACCCATAGTATTCTATATAAAAATTTTGATTAAAGTTTAATTAAGTAGTATATAAAATAATAAAATTGTTAAATCTATTTAGATTTATAGTTGCACTAAGGCAATACACATCACCGAAGCAGTGTTAAATATTCTTAGATATTTACGAATCTGAATCTGTAAAGCCTACAATTTCACCATTAAATTGCGAGACACATTGGAATGCTACTTATTTGATATTGCAATCAGTTATTGAAATTAAGAATGTGGTTGTCAGAATAAAAGATAGAGATAAAACATTCTCTGATTTACCTAAGGATAATAAATAGAAAAACACAAAAGCCATCTGCAGTATTTTAAAACTATTTTATGATTGTAAGTAAATTACTAATGAGTAGGTTGGCAAATTATTCAATTCTTATATATAATTTTTAAACAATTTTTGTATATAAAAATATACTGTATTTTATTTGATTAATAATAAATAAATAATAAGATTATAATTTAATTTAATTTTTTGATTTATTTTTTGATTTTTACTAAAAAATAGATACTCTAAAATCATCAGCAAGTTCTTACCTAATGCTTAACAGTACTCTTGCTTTAATCTAAAATATTCGTACCCACCTTTTGTATATGAAATCCTATACAAATAGTTTTATTTATAATATGTGTAAAATTATGATTGTAAAGTTTAATAAGTATTAGGAAAACTGTAGTATTTTATATATAATCGCATGTATCTTTGATTCCTGCTACAAAATACAATTCATTAAATATTTTTATCATGAAAAAGAAAAATTAGAATTTTATAATCTTAATAAAAAATTACAAGATATTTAAATGAAGTATATTTATTAATTTTTAATAAATTAGTTTTATAGATTTTAATTATTTTATACTAATGTTTAAAAAAATTAGATTTAAAGATATATATATTCAAACATATTATTTTTTATCAACCGTTGAATATTTGCCAAATAATAATAAAGGTATCATCGGTGCTAAAAATAATATATTAATGTTTGAAAACCATATTAATGATTTTTTTGAATATACAGGAAGGCAAACACAAGCTAATAAAAATGATCCATTTTGTAAAGTTAAATAATATTTGAATAAACAAATTGAAACAAGAACTACCAATATTTTTAAATGGTAGAAATATAATAAAAACCAGTTCTCTACTTTATTTGTAATAGCTCAAAACTTTTTTTCTATACCTGCTACTAGTATTGCTTCTGAACAAGCATTTAGTTGTACAGATCATATTATCAATAATAGTCACACTTTGTTGGATCCAGACACGGTAACTACATTGATGTGTCAAAGAAATTGGCTAGAAGTGTCTAAAAAATTTGGTTGGAATTTATAAATCTATCATAGACCCATTAATAGTAAAGTAATAAAGTGCAACTTTTAATAAATTTAAATAAAATGCAAATTTTAATGGAAATACTTTCATAGCGCTATAGTGCTATGGCACTATGTATACCAAATGTACTATGTTACACATAAATATATATTATTTAATTAAGATTGTAATACTGTACTGA